AAGTGGTGCTCGTAGCGTAGCGTTTGCTCATACGAAGTACCGTCAGACAGGGCGTATGAGTAATAACAAATCTTAGCACAATCAAAACGTGAGCTAAATGAAGGAATGTTGCGAAGTATAGTAGGTGTGTAGCATGCTGCTTGGAAAGTGTTTGTTATATGAATTATGCAGTTGTGCGTTTTGTTGATTTGCTGTTTTTGTTGTTTGTTTTATAAAAATTCATGCATTTGGTTGTACATGGCACGAGTTGCTTATGTGCGTGCCTTTTTAATTGAAGAAGTCCTCACTTTTAATTTGATTTCTTTACAAAACTTTTCTTGCAGCATGCAAAAACGCGCAAGAATGACGATGTACTATGTAGTAAGAAATCACTTGACGCCAAGCGCATGAGTGCTCTTGAAGCACGAATATCTTTATATACATACATTCGTATACATACATATGTAGTAGCTGTATTTTTTCTTAGAATTGTGTCATACACTTATGCGTGCCTAAAATCAGACTACGTTAGCGACGGTGACAGCATCTTACTCATATTTTCGATGTCCTGTTTTTCGCACCTGTGCTTTATCTGCCGGCGATGAAATTATTATTGCAAGGAAGGATACTCACGGACACTTCTATGCATGGTTCTTACTTCCAGAAATGTCTTTCATGCATACAAATCTATAAGAATCCTTTATAAAACATCTCAAGTTGTTCACCTACACTCAAACTGCTTTCATTTCTTTACCCTAATAACGCAACTGCTACGCTGAATGTATATAGTAGCCATGCTACCAATTCTACAAGTACTTTGCAAAGTCTAAAGAATATTTGAAGCATTTCATTGTTTTGCATCCAGTTTTTCGGTGAGTTAAGAATCCTTACCTACATATGTATGTAAATAGTAGCTCAAGCCACCTTGCCGGCTGCCCACCTGCTGTGAACTCCTCTTAAGTAAGTAATTTCTACTGCCACCTCCATATTGGCCTATTAAATGCGTCCTGTAGCGCAGAAGTGGGAGACATTTTCAACCGTCGCGCTGCAACTTTTTCCCCTATTGCCATCTATAAGATAACCTGTGTCAACGCAGCGGCCTCGGCGGTTAGGAAGCTAACGGCAATTATTCTACAAATCAATTGTTTAGCAAGTGTACTCGTCGTACCTCGTATCCCGAACAGCAGACTATTTAAATGAGTTAGTCAAATGAATAAATTTCTGTGTCTGCTGTGCTGCTTGCTTTCCCATTATTGTACTCGCAATAAACAGCTTGTCTAACAATAAGACTCGGTTGGAAAAATATTCAGCTTATTTCTAAAATCTTTGCTATTGCGATAGCGAACAATTGAGGCACCTTGTGAATGTCTGTGTGTGTGTGTGTGTGTGTGTGTGTGTGTGTGTGTAGGTGAGTGTCACACGAATGGTTGAAAGTTTAAATTAAATGAAAACTTTTTCAATTACATCAACTGGAATAAAATCGCACACGAAAAATAAGTCAAAAAAGTATGTCAAAGCGAGAGAGAGAGAGAGGAAAGCAGTTCGGAAGGTGGAATTAGAGGTTAAATTCTATGTCGGGTGGGAGTGGGCAAGCAACTTGCGAACTCAGACAATGGACGGTAAGAATACGATTGGAAAAGCTCAGTGCTGAAAGAAATCTTTTGTTTCACAAAAAAAAAATTAAAATATTTAATTGTGCTCCTAAACTTTTTTTTCACTGCATTCTCTTCAACGGTGCTTATATTTCGATCGTTTTTATTTTCTTAACTTTCGCATTGAATAAAGTGACCAGATTTGCGAATTTGATACGCCATTTTTCTTGGTATTGACCAGAAGTTATGAGTAGATTGAAATCAAAGTTAAGCAACTAGTTGCTTAAAGGGTAACCTTAGGCGACTCATACTATGTCTATTTAGCGCAAAATCTATAGTTTTGAAATGTGAGCCAACAAAAGTTTTCCGTTTGAGTTTTTAAGTAGTAACACAAATGTAGGTCAAACTTTTCGTTGATGAAGTAGAGTTACATGAGATATTTGAAAGAACGATTAGTTTTGTAATTAAATGTGGTGGAAAGAAAAAGCATGCGAATTAGTTTTTGAATATGTGACATTTGCCATTTTCGATATGTCTACTGCAAGACAATATTTTTGTCGATAAATTTGTGTCTTTTTATTTTTGTAGGATTCAAAAAAAAAATTTTGTTTTGTTTTGTAAATGCCTACATTCGTCGTAGCCGATACATTTAACAACAAAACTCTAAAAACTCTACGAAAAAAATTTCTGCAGAATTTTATTTCAATGAAAATATCGATAACTATAAAAAAAAAAAAAAACATCTATAAAATATTGATTTTGTTACCAGAATCTATAAAAATGTTAAAAATAATCGTTACCGTCATATTTTAAGCCAAAAAAGTGATCGAAATAATATATCACCAGATTATTAAAAGGCATGGAAAACGAAATTTTTTTATTATCAAAAGTACCTATCGATAAATATTTTCAAATATCGATAAATGTTTTAACAACAGCGGGAACAAAATATCGATTGTGTTACCAATATCGATTAAACTGTACAAAAATTGTGATGTAACGATTATAGATATACGATAAAAAATCGTGTATAATTTGGATACAAATATCAGTCTACATATATGCAATAAAATATCAATTTTTTCCAGCAGTGACAAAAATATGAAAAAAAAACTTTAGGATAGCTTTAGTTAATGACAAAAATATATATAATATAAAATATTCTTTTGTTACACCGATAAAAAGTGAAATACTTTGAAAATAAATAACGATAAAAATAATGATCTTGATTGTAAAACCTATATAAACAACTTGTGAGAAGTTATTTATCGAACATGTTATTGATAAAGATTCTTAAATATCAATAAATATGTATTTTAATGCGGTATTTACATGAGGCGACTTCACAGGAAACTTTTAGTTGACAGCAACAATCGCCTGGTGTGAACGAACCTTCAACTAATCGCTTCCAATGAAGTAGGGGGGCAGGCAACTTTTTATTCAAAGAATCGTCTCTAAAGTTTCCTGTAAAATCGCCTAATGTGAACACCTTTTAATGATAACATCAACGAAATACTCAGTTTCTTACCAATATCGATAAAAAATATGCATGCCTAAACGTGATCGGTATATCTAAAGGCAGAAATATAATCAATATAGTATCGATGGATATTTTCTTGCAACACCGTTAAATATTACTTTGATAATAATATCGGTAAAATTATCGAATTCTAATATTAACTATTTTGAAAAACGTAAGAAAAGTAACTCCTCGGCAACTTTTTTGATAAATATTATTTTATACTTATAAATATTTTGTTTCCAGCAACAGTCATAAATAGATAATGCAAACAATATTGGTAAAAATGTACAAAAAATCGGTGTCATTATATTCATGCAAAAAAATATCGCCAAAAATACATATATCGATTCTCTTCAACCCCGATAAAAAGTCGTTAAAAATTTTAAAAAACATCAACGCTAGAAATATCTTAGCTTAGGTGGAAAATAAATATTAAATATTAAAAAATAAAAATAAAAATAAAAATGTTAAAAAAAAATTTCAAATATTTTCAAGTATACTTAGTTCCTTTTTTTAGAACTAAATAAAAATATATTTATATAAATATTATGTAGGGACATTCAAACATATACTGGCATTTTCTCACTACCATCCACCAGAATTGAAGAATATCGAAAAAAGGATACCCGTTTTTTTAGTTTTCTAAATACTTACGAAAAAATTTATTTTGCCGATATAAAGTATCAAATCACTGGCGCCACGGTATTTAACCGATTTCAAAATAAAAAAATATGGGTCTCCTTTTTTCGATATTTTTCATTTCTGTGGTGTGGCTGAAAAAAAAATATGTTGGACCACCCTAATGTAAATATATTTCTATAAAATTATCGGGAATAATAAAAGCTTTAAATAAGCAAGGCCATTATCAATCAAGTATTTATCGATGAAGATATTGTTAGATAATGTTATCAGTAAGTGGCACATATTTAAATACAATTGGCTTTAAAAAATTGTATATGCATTCAAATCCTAAATAAAATCAAACAGCTTAAAATTTACTGCCTACGCTTTAGTCACCCTACCCTCAGAAGGTATTCAAAATTATTTGTAAAAATTAAGTTTAACGAAAATATGTATTAAAGGGATGCTCAATTGGGCGAGCTGAGTCTCTGCCTGCACAACGGACGCTACAGCCTTTGAAAGAAAACTTTCTTTTAATTTAACGCTTGATTGACTACGAACGTCGATGCCAAAGAAGACAACAGAAATAGAGAAGAGTGGTATGAAAAATAATTAAAATGCCAAAAAATCCCCATTAGAATTACGCGCCCGAAGGAATTTCGCAAAAGGAAATTAAATAAAAGTACAGAGTTTAATTAAATAAATTATGCAAATTAGGGCTCCGAAATATTGAAATATAGGAGAACCAGAGTACTTATACTTTTCAGTAATGATTTCTAACTTCCATCTGCAACAGAGCACATAGAATTTAGTTGTAAAACAGAAAGCTCTTGAAGAATATGAGAAATCCTGGATTACTTCAAGTATAAAAGTAACAATATGGTACAAAAAGTTCGCAAACAGACTGGTGTTGCCAGAATTAAAATGGCAAAATTAGTGAATTAAACAAATACTAAAGCCAAAAGCTTTGCATGTACGATGTTTTAAGAATACACATCTGGTTTTTAACTAAAATTAAAAGAAATTTTTTTTAAAAACTGTATCCCACTTGGCGGTTTGTGATCACTGGTAAAGTACGTAAGTTCAAACGCTAAAAGACTTTTAATAACGAAGTTGATTTTACTTATCACCGTACACAATTAATAATAAACCCATTTTTTTTTTATTTCCCGTTTCTTTTTCAATGAAACAAGAAACACATAAGAAAATTCTTTTCTTCAACTGTTTACTAAATTTTTAATTTAAAATTTTACTTTAAAAGAATTTCAGGGATATGATATATTAAAGTTGATGTTCACAAAAATCGACGAGTGGCCGAATTAGGGTTAAATAGAAGCGACAAATGCTCTGCTGGTAACAAGCCAGCACAGGATTGAGGAATGCGAAAGCATCAATATGTTCGCAGTTGAATGATTTTTATTAGGTAGGACTAGCGTCCTTACTCCTCTTCGTGGCTTCGCTATAATTATATCGTGCAAAACGTTCTATGTCACTTATTACCTCTGGTACTGAAATGATCTGTTATCTATATCGGATCGCTTCTGGCAACCGTTCATCTTCATCAGCCAAAGGTAGACAGTTTGTCATTCGTTTATTAGGGTGTAGAGATTTACAGATGCATTCCGGTGCACGTAATAGACCATAAAAAGTGTCAAGATTACTACTAGACATAGACCGTTTTTCGGTATCACCGACAATATGTAGAATAGCTTTACATAGCACAGTAAATACATGGTAACAGTATGTGGCTCTAGACAGACCAATAATTTTGCTTAGCCATTGGATACTTAGCAAGGACATAAATTTTTCAATGTAATTGTCCGCCCTCGAGCAAACAAAGCCTAGAAGAGTGCTAGTGTAGAAAGGGATTCATATGCTAAGGTTCATTATGCGATGCCGCAGCACCAAGCCACTGCACACTTTTGACCACCGCATCGTTTCACGGATAAGTGCTTACTGCTTGAAAGCACTAAATTAATGCAATTTAATGATTACAACTGTGGGCAGTGCATGTGTCCTTCTAGATATTGTATTTGTATGTTATTTGAGTAAATGTACCGGCGCGCGTATCTTTCTACCCATAATTTCGAAATGCGTATGCTTAGGGGTACTATATTTGTCTGTATATTTACTTGAAAAACTGCTCTACAGCTCCACTGAGTCGTCCATTTTGAGCGAACATGCAGTAACACTATTACTACTAACCCCCTTACAACTGCCATTGGCGCCGCGTCGTCATATATCTGAACCTTCATGCGAATCGCCAACGTAACCTTCGTCTGGACTATCAGCTAGCGGTCCATGTAAATGACGCAGCTTTGAGGATTCTTCGGTTGCCGTTGCAGTGGCTGTCGTTGTTGCTGTTGTATTGCTTGCCGACATAGTCACTGTGGTTGCGCTGCTGCTACTGCTACTACTGCTGCTGCTGTTGCCATCATTACTGCTACTGGCAGCAGTCGATGTGGTGGGCGAAACGTCATTCTCATCGCATTCGGGTATGGTAGAGGCGTCAGCTTGTGCGGCTACAAAACGTTTAGCAGCTGATGATGATGATGTGGACATGGTGGGGCCAGTGTTAGTGCTCGTTGTGGTAAACGTCGCGGATGTTGTTGGTATGGGCACTTGCGTTTGATTCGTTTGACCGTTGGGCGTTAGAACAACCGTTGATGTGGATTTGTGCTGCTGTTGCACAATATGCGGCTGCTGTGTGTGTGCCTGCGGGCTTAGCACGCCAACAAAAGTTGGCGGGTAGCGTATGGCCTGCACGTGATAGCCGGGCAAACAAGGTGGCCACTGTTGAAATGTAGCGGTTGAGATTGTTGAGGCACCATTACTAGTGCCGCAGCCGCCCGCGCTGCCGTCATGCATGCTTGGCGCTGGACTTTGACTGCTCTTATAGCCATCTGGCGGTGAAGGATACTGCATCAAGTGTTGTTGTTGTTGTTGTTGTTGTTGTGCCTGCGGATAGCCCTCGGCTGTGAAGCGCACATTGGGCATATACTTGTCGTACGTTGGTGTGCCGGAACGCTGCAGAAACTCAGCCTCCAGGCTGTATCGCATGCCAGGATTTGCGGCCGAGGCGGCAAATTGTTGCTGTTTGTGCGCGCGATTGTGTGGCAGGGTGCGATAATAGTTCTGTTGTTGTATGTGCTGGGACTGTGAAGGTTCGGCGCCTAGCGAATGTTGTGGCTGCAGTTGGAGGTGATGATGCGAAGGCGGTGGTGACGGGGCTTGTTGCATGTGCGCGTTGCTGTAGTCATACGCAAAGCCGTCCTGTCCCAAGAAACAAACGGTATTCATTACAGTTTTCAGTTGCATGCCACGCGGCAATGTTGTCATGGCGGCAAAGCGTGAGGCGGCCGCAGAATTCAGCTGCATATTCGCTGGCTGTATGATTTGTGAGCCATAATGCGGCGCCAGCTGGTAGCAGCTATCGAAGGGAACTGGTGTCGTTGACATGCCCTGTATGCTACATGGACCCGAACAGTCGCTAGCCGCGTCATAGTCTCCGTCCAGTGAGGACGCTGTTTTCAATTTATTGTGATTCCCGCTCTCTGCGTCGTTTACTAAATCGGGGTTCTTTTCTTGGTAGTTGCGCACTGACGAAGGTGGCGAACAGTAGCTCATGGCATTGCCTACCAAAATAGGTGGCGGCATGCCGCTAGCGCCAGCCATGCTCACGCTCAGCTGTAGCGCTTTGCCAGTGTTGTCGCCTGCTAACGTCGCAGCTGTTGGCGTTTGTTGTTGGTAGTGAGCGGGCGCATATAACAGCAGATTTTGCTTCATCTGACCACCAATAATGACGCCGCTATTTTCTTTGCACATTTTCGTTGGCGTCATTGCGTCAGCCATCAGTAGACCGGCGCCGCCATTCATAGACTCGCCATCGTTGAGTATCGAGGAGCACTTCATCAACGCCGTCTCGTTGGCATTTGTGTTTGTTGAATGCGCGCTGCCGCCGCCTACCACATTCGTAACGGAACCACCACCTGCAAATTTTTGGCGTTTGTTCGGCTGTCTTTGCTTGCACTTAATCACGATCGTGCAGAGCAACACAACGAAGATGACGCCGGCTCCGGTGCTGCTGGCCATAATGTAGTTCATGTAGTCGCGCGGAAAGGATACCTCGTTCACCACAGGCGGCTCCTTGGTTATGACGCGCAGCGTGTAGTTGCTGAATGTGATGCCTGCAATGTTCTTTCCCACGCACGAGAAGGTACCATTATCTTCGGGACCTACATTGTAAATGAAAATCTCGCTACGCTTCTCCTCCGCGCTACCACCCTCATCAATATAAAAGTACATATGCAGATTATCGATCAGACTCTCGTTGGTCATCACTTGACCGTTGAAGAGCCACAGCACCTGCGGCTCGGGTATGGCGCGCACCACGCACATAATCGACATATTGCGTCCCTCTGAGATTTCTGTGTACGTGGATGTTGGCGTCACCTCAGGCAGGCAAGCGAGGTCGTCCTTATTTAGCGACTTGATCGTATGACCCTTCAGTCGTGGTGGCTCTATGCATTTGGGCTCCTCCACCTGCGGCGTCACGTAATTCTTAAGCCATGCATACACATCCAACAGCCGACAATCGCACATCCAACGATTGCTCTGCAAGCTAATGCCATGCAGCGATTTGGGCAGTATATGCGGACCTTGTATGAAACCGATGCGATTGCCATCCAGGCGCAACCACTCTAGATTGTCCATGCCAATGAAGGCTTCATTCTCGACTCGTTCGATTTGGCAGTTGCTCAGCTCAAGCGTTGTCAAAAACGAGAGATGACGAAAGGCTGACGTCTTTAATTCGCGTATCGGATTACCGCTTAGCGAGAGACGCATGAGCGAGCTGTAGTCCTGAAATGTTTTGGTGGGTACATTTTGTAGCATATTATCCGAGAGATCTAACTCGACCAGATTTGTTAGGCCACGAAAGGCCTTTTCGTGTATGCGTATCAGCTGATTGCGTGACAAGTAGATCTTCTGTAAATTAAGCAAATCCATGCGCAGAAAGCGTTCACTCTGCAACACTTGCAAGCTATTGCCGGAAAAGTTGAGTACCTGCGTGCCGGGATCCATACCCTCGGGTATATTGGGCAGCTGCTGGCTGCCGCACTCCACCGTTTGCTTGCCACCCTTCCACTTGCACATGCAAACCTCAGCTGGGCAGGTGAGCGTTAGCCGACAGATGGCCAAGAGGATGAGGATGGCTGCTGGTCGTAATATTGGGCTAGTGAATGTATGGAACATGGCGCGCGTGCTACTGTGATGTGGTACACGATGTGTCAGTCGCATTTGTTTAGCAGCATGCGCCCTAAAATATGCAATAGGCGATGTCAGCATTTGAATGGGTGATGACGACACATGCTGGTCTAATTTTTTTTTGCGCCTGCTCGTATGAAATGTGCCCTGAAAGTGCGATAATTTCTTATTTTATGCCAAAAGGAAGCTTTTTTAATCTCGTTTCAGCCCGAAAGTATGCTATATTTCAATATTTTCTTAAATTCCACAAAGCGATTGTATTTTCTTCTTGTGTCTTGTGTATTTGCTTGCCGGCTAAAGTTCTGCTTCGCCTTAACTATAATCAGCTTGTAATAGTGTCATTCATTTGCTTCCGCTTTGCTCCGAGATAAGCTACTTCTTTTTCAGCTTGCCTATTTTCGTCGACAATTTTTGTTACTCTCTCTCTCTCTGTTCGCCTTTCTCTCTCTCTACCTCGTACTCTTCATAGGCCTTCAAATGTAATATGATTAGCGTCATTTACGCTTCGCTTTGCCTGCGCAATCTATCTTGCTATACAAATTAAGTTGATTGCAAACAGCTGACATTCCGCAACCCACTATGCTTTCAGCCGTACTCTATATCTTCTGCATTTCACTTTGTCTAGCGACACTTTCAGTATTTAAATTGATTCATTTGAAAATCTCGCGACGTCAGTGGTGTTGCTAGTTACTGCCCTTTTTCCCACTGCCGTGACTTGCCATTCCTCTTGCGTTAATTTCTTCTGCTGTCAGCAGAAAACCAACGCTCGACACATTTTAATATTTTTTTTTTGTTTTTGTACAAAATCTTCCACTGGTTGTAGTTGTTAGATTTTTTAACTTTATTCTCTTGAGCACTCTACTTTATTTATTCCACTTTATTTCTAGCGCCTTTCTCATTCACTGTCATTGTCAGTAGTATCACAGCAACATTGGCACGGTGCTTGCGTTACTGTTTTGTTGTTTGTGCATTCACTTTAATTTAGCACTTGCTTTTAAACATTATTGTTTGCTGTTGTTACTGTTGCCGATATGGCTACTGATTTACGTGTTTTATTTTACTAACTCGCTTTCAAGTGCTCTGCTCCGGCTATTTTCGCACACACACACAAACACACAAATTTTTAATGTCTATGTTAAGCTTCTATCCAGCGGCATCATATCTTTTTTTTTGCTTTACAATCAGCGTTGCTCGCCAATGGCGTCCGTTAGCTTTGTGGCTGTATAAGCTTGCAGACTCGACAGCTTCACTTGCTTTAATGCCTTGTCTGTCTACTATTAATATGCTTTGCCTTCCACTACATGCACTTCCACAATATTTTCTGAAGCGCTCTTTGAGTGCGGCGCTTAATTCGCTTTTTTTTTGTTATCACTTCAGCGACTGCAGCGAGTGTTCAAAATCGGCAGCTTTCAGCAGAGAAATGCATTAGTTGCCCCCTGGGGATTTGCATATGTTGATACCTGAAAAAAATAAGGATTTAATTAGTTGTTTTCTATGCAAGGTTTAATGTGCTAGAAGCTTAGCTTAATTATCACGAAACCGAAAACTGACAGGTCGTATACGTAACAAAGGCTTTCAGCTGCAGACACTGAATTAACGTCCTTTGCTTTTAGCTAGTGCAAAACATTTTAATTAACTAATGGCAGGCAGCAAAAACCATTTATTATGGCATAAATGTACGTATGTACTTATATACAGTGGCGGTCCATAGAATAGACTCGCCTTACTTTGAAGGGTTTTGGCTATATTTTCATGGTTTATTTTATGTTTAATATTTTTTTATAAAAGCCTGGCTAGCTATACAACAAACACCATATAAATCCCTTTTCAAACATTATACAAAAATTATAAAAATTCAACAGATTTTTAAACTTTTTATGAAGAATTTTTAGAAAAATGTCTGTTATGCAGTTTTGTAGCCCATTTTTAGGACAATAAAATGCAAGTTTCAAGTGGCTAGAAAATACCGTTGATTTTTGACAATTTTTTTGTTGACTGAATAAAAAGTTTAAAAATTTGGCGAGTCTATTCTAATGACCGCCAGTGTACATTTGTAGATAACTTCCTATGAACATATCGATAACCCCTGCAATAACGACAAAACTCAAAATGAAAAACAAAAAAATCCTTGCTCCTGTTAATTGTTTCATATCACTAATCCTTGTCTAATCCATGTGTAATCCTTATTAAAGTAGTAGTAAGGATTACCAACGTAAATAGTAGAGACCTGACAGGGATTAGAGACATGAGTCAGTTAGCAGTAGCAAGGGCGTATTTTTTTTTTTTATTTCTGATTTGCGTCGTTATTGCAGAGGAGCATCGTAAACATATGTAAACATATTCTTATGAACACTGTACAAAAAAAAGAAGTTATGTGTGGATCCTAGGCGCGACTGAAGTGAAACTTCTTCCTAAAACTCCACAATTTAATTTATATTTTAAACAGATGGCAACATTTTTCAAAATCCGGAGCTGTAAGCGATTCTGGTGCCAAATTTCATCTATCTTCGTCTAGCCGTTTCTAAGTGAAGAGAAGTTTCGCAAGGTTCGATTTGTATAATTTTAAATCACCCTTTATCGATAAAAAGTTCTAGCCTCAAAAACTAAAACATTAGTTCACATAAATTTGACATCTCATTTTTTCCAAAGTCGAAATGGTAGTGCATATCTCATGACCTTCGTAAGAAATGTCTTGGCGTAGTATATGTATATGTATGTACATAGTTGGATTAATATGACTTTTTGATTAGGTGGCAACCCTAAAACAAAATAATTTGAACACAAAGGAATTTTACGAACGATTCCTTTGTTTAACATTCATATTAAAATATATATTATCTTGTACATATAGTGGCGACAAAAAGGTATATCACCATAGCATTAGTTATTAAGATTTAGTTGGAGAAATATTTGTATGTAAAATCTGGTAGCACTCTTTAACCATACTTCGTTTTGATATTGACATTTTTTTTCTTGCAACATTCTAGAATATAGATACACAATTTTCTTTTTCCTTTCGTTTTGGTAACTGTTCATAAAAAATATATATATGAGTGCGCGAAGATATACTTTTGATACCTAACTTTTTGTAAGAGTAATTTAATCGACGTTAATAAAAAGTTTTCTGAGTAATAACACAACTTGTGTGTAAACGTTTATTGGCATAAAAATTGGCGTTAGGAATGCGATAGTGGGACCTGCGTTGACACAGTGACGAGCCAGGAGCGCTACAATATCTTGTGTATAATTTAATTAAATACTACTTTTCAAACAGGTGGCAACACTCTTCAAAATATTTTCAAACTAAAAATTCTTAAACCTCTTACGTCCGACTCCACATTCTTGATAGTTCAAGTTGAATACATTTTTTTCAAACGTAGCAACCAGGGATGCCGTCTGGATCTAAAAAGATCCAATTGGATACATTTTTGGACGAATTTTTGAGAGATACTTATTTTTTCCGATCAGTATAAATGTGGATACTTTTTTAAATAGGCCAAAATTTTATAGTTTCGATAAAGTTTTCTTCGTTTAAAAATCGATTTTAATTAAAGATGGTAGAAAGCATTACGTTTTCTAAATGTATTAAAAATCACTACTTAAGCGTGGAATTAAAGCATTTTATTTTTGTGAACGAACATATGAAGAGATCTCTCCGAAATAGGTATAAAAGTGCGAGTGTTTTAATTAGCTAAAAACGATGCTTTAAGCAAGATCTTAATATATAAATAAAGTAAATAGATACTCTTTCTGTACTAATCTCTTTCATATCACATACTTTACTTTTACATACCAAATTTGTCGCGAAGATCAAAAATTACACATAAAATGTTTAAAATAGATTAATGTGAGCCCGTAATGCTTTTTATTAGTAGAAAATGTATTTTTAGTTTAAAATTTTTTGCAGAGTCGAAATGTAACATATTAATTATTATTTATTATACTTACTTTGCAAAATGTAATTTATAAATTTAAATTACAAATGTTTGATTTTATGAAAAATAAAAATATATTATGTACATGTATTCCAAGTCCTTAGGATGGGTTAAATTATTTATTTTTCTTTAAAGTGCTTGGTTTTCTTACAAATTATGAGATAGATGGATGGATGGAACAAAAGAAAATTGGATACATTTGGATACACGTTTGTCTAGGTCGGTGATACATTTTCTTGAGACGGCGCAGCAACACTGGTAGCAACCCTTCTGAATAACTGAGTGAGAGGGGAGACCAGTACGGTTGCATGTATGTATATAAAAAAAAATATTTATTAGTGCAAAAAAGGTGAGGAGGGTGCATCAGACTAGGCTGAGCATACTTCGAACTGCCATCAAATTATAACTTAAGAAAGTGTTATTACATGGCAGTTGAGAAGTGCATGTGCAAAGCTTGCATAAAGTTAATGAGGGAAACTTTTGGACATATAGCAAGAATTTAGGCGCCTGGTGTCAACATTCACGCCTAAACACCTTAAAAAAATATTCCAGAAAAAGCTTTTCCTAACTCAACCCTCTTCAAAAACGAAAACCTTCTTACACCACTTTCGTCTGATATCCATATTCTGATATATATTTTAATTTCTAGCTGCCACAATTCAAGTTAAATTTGATGTTTTATACATGTGGCAACGCTCATAAGAATTACTAAAATTATGTAAGTAAAAAAATTTTGTTTTTTAAACTGATCATTATTTATGTGGTACCGGAGAAATCAGAAAAATTAATATACAACTTAATTGTTTGGCTGGTTGGCGCATTGGCGAGTTTGACAACTCCAGTTAGCACTTATACGTGCCGTTTTAAAAGCACTACTCGCACTTTAACCCGAAATTAAAAGTCAACCAGAAAACAGTAAAAGTTGGTGGTGTTCTTGCACTTATGTCTGTTAGATCGCATGTAAATGGGTTTGCCTGGAGAAGGGATTTGATCGCTGGCAATGCTGGTCCTTGCTAGCTTCAGGTGACTTTTGTGCTGTTTCAAACAAGAAAGAATAAAATTTTTTTTTTTAGTTTTCTTTGCATCCGTGCATTCTCAATTTGCTGCATAAAGCTGTTATTATTAATTACATTTGTTTTGACTCTAACGAAAAGTTGCTTCAAAATGAACGAGTGAAAATTTATCCGAAGTCTTTAAAAGTAGCATTTGTTCATAGCACAACAAAAATCAACAAGATATACAAAAATCGATTTGGCAACTAAAATTTACTACTACTCAGGCAGCATTAAAATGAATACCATAACATAAGCTACAGTTAATTTCTTCCCGAAGGCATAGATAATGTCCTTACAACCGGCAAATACATTGTCAAGCATAGCATTTTGCTCTTAGCTGTAAAAATTAATTAAGCTAACGACAACAAAAGAAATTTGAAACAGTCAATTAGATATACGTATCTACTATATAACCAGTCAAACCGCACATACATATGTACATACATGAGTATAATAAACCTACCACAGCTGTGCAGGTATGTAAACCAAAACAAGCTGTTAACTCATTTACCTTAAAGACAATCAAAGCCTACAATATGTAAATTAAACTATCTATAGGTATATATACATTAGGGTGGTCCTTAAAAAATCAAATGAGCGATTCTTTTCAGTCTCACCCCTTCAATCGGTAATACGACGGTCACAAATATCACATATCAATTTTGGTCCCGATTGGAGTCGGTTAAGAAATCTTCACAGGGTAATCTGAATTTTGACCCCTGTGCGCCACGCTTTAACGGACTCCAATCGGGGCCAAAATTCATATGTGATATCTTCGATCATAGTAGCATCGACTTTGGGTATTAGACGAAAAAAAATAATTATTTAAATTTTTTGAGTCTACATAGAGGAATCTGAACTTTGCCCCCTGTGCGACACGCTTTAACCATCTCCAATCGGGACCGAAATTTATATGTGATATATTCGACTAAAGCAGCATCGACGTAGGGGTTGAGGCTTAGGAAATCTGATATACAAATTTTGCTTCCTACATTTAAGTACCACCCTAATTTACATCCATATATTAACTACCTTTTTACTTTCAGCAGAAATCTACTTGAACAATGGCCAACAAGCACAACGCAGCACAATACAAATGACAGTTGTCTGTATGTACAAACCAAGCAATCGCTGCCCGAGGAAAAACGGCTACAAAAGTAATAGCAGCGGCAGCAGCAGCAACAACAGCAAAGATAAAACCAACAATAAATCATGTAACATATTGTAGGGAAGATACTTAAAGGCATAAAATATAAATTACGCAAAATTAAGCTAAGCTCATAGTCAAACACAAACACGCACACGAACGCACGTACATACTCCAACAGCTCAAAGTATTTAAAGTAGACAATATGGAAGGGTGGGTACGAGTACTTAATCGGCGCTGAATAGGATGAAAGACAGATATTTTATATTAGCAGCTATATATCTCGCTATTAAGTAGACAGTCGCTGCTATTAGACAAACACCAAATCCACTGCTTTGTCCTTGGTAATACTGTAATTTTCTTGGTTCGGGGTATGGGTAGCCACTTCGTATTTTGCGCGCAGGAAGAGGTAATAAGGTGTAAAATAACTCAAAGCTGAAGTGGATGAGTGCACCCACACACGCATATATGTACATAGATACATGCACTTGCGTTCACAGGGAAAGTTACACAAAAGAACGCCACTTAAGGCAAGGCATTGTTTTTCTTTAAGTCAACACTCTGCTTCACTAAAATAGGAACGCTTTTTAAAGTGCAACCTCGTTGCGCTCAATAGAATATTAGTAGTTAATTGTTGACGAAACTTACCACAGAGCATAAACAAATTCTCAACAAAAATTATACGCATTTTCCACTTATTACTGGCCGCCTTTAACGGCGAGAATATCTCGCTGTCGAGATGAAGAAATCGGGATTTCGCACATGTGGGCCGCAAAAAGTAGGAATCATACTTGTTCTTACTTTCGTGTCGTGTCGGATCAAGACAAGACAAAATAACGCAATTCAGGTCAAGCCAAGCCATCAAATAACGTCTTAACAAGTTAATTTAAGTTATCTCAAGACAAGGCAGGTTAAGTCATGTCATGTAACGACAAGACCAGGTTAAGTCATGCCAAGTCAAGTCACGGCAAGCCAAGCCACGTGAAGTCATGTCAAGGAAAGTCAGGAAGAGTTAAACCAAGTCGCGCTATGAAAAGACTAGTCAAATCAAGTTAGGTCGAGTCAAGTCAAGTTAAGTTAAATCAATCGACTCGAGTCTAATCAAGTCATGTCAGGTCAAGTCAAGTTAAGTAAAATCAAATTAAGTCACGTCAAAGCAGGTTAAGTAAAGTAATATCACGACAATACCAGTCAATTCAGTTCAAGCCTCCTCAAGTCAGGTCACGGCAAGTTAAGGAAAGTCAAACCTGGTCAAATCAAGTCGTGTCAAGAAAAGACAAGCCAAGTCAATTCAATGCAATAATGTTAAGCCGAGTCGGCTCAAGATACGTTTCACCAAGTTAAGTCAATCTATGCCAAGTCGAGTCATATCAAGTTAACCCATGTCATGTCACGACGAGAAAAGTCAACTGAGGTGAAGCCACGTCAAGCTAGATCACGTCAAATTAAGCCAAGCCAAGTCAAGTAATCTCAAGGAAAGTCAAGTCGAGTCAAATCAAGTCGTGTAAGGTAAATACAAGTCTAGTAAAATCATATTCAGTCGAGTTGGGTCCAGTTAACTTAAGTCCTGACTTGACTTGTCAGGTCGGGCAGGTCAAGCCAAGTCCAGCCTACATAGTCAATTGAAATCGAGTGAAATTAAGAAAATCTCAGTATGCAGTATTATTTTTCAGTCCTTATAATATTAAATAGCTATGCCAATAACGTATTCAGCGTGAGCTCGTAAAACCTTATCAGTATTGTTGCAATCACGAATCTTCCGCCGACATAAAATATCTGGGAATCACTCTTGACAATAGGCTTAATAGGACTTCCGTACACAGAGATTTTATCGCATGATTGTTTGTTCGATTGTGTCTTATCCTTCGATGGCCAAGGACACCACAAAACCATATCTCATTTCAGCACACTCCAAGGGACCTTGTTCCTTCGAAAGGATTGGCATAGTACATCTTTTAAATAAATAAAATACCGGCTTGATTAAGGCGTCAGCTCTGTCTTGCGGACAATAAGCCGTGGGGAAAAAAGAATTCTATTTGGCCATATCTGTTTGTAGATCCGTTCGTTTTTCTGGTAGTCGCTGAAGAGCAAAACCCAATACCAAAAATTTCTAATTAAATTGAAGACCAATCAAAAGGCTGGAGTCCTTCTTCGACAATCACTAGTCAAGTAATAAGTTCGATTTTTGAAAATACAAGTGTACCTATTCAGGTTGACGTTGTTGATATATATATATGTATATTCATTTATGGATGTACTGTTCCATACAAGGTAAATGAGTATCCTATTTTTTTTAAATATGACACAAAAGGTGTTTTGTTAGCAGTTTAATTTAAAGGTAGAGGATATTGGTCTCATTCTTACCAACTTCAGTGATTATATGTATGTATGTATGTATGTAACATATAAATATGTGCATATGTTTTTGCCTATGAAAGTTGTAGATGGCAAGCTAACGCGATGTATCAGTGTCTGTAGCAGCAATAATACACAACTAACTCAAACAAAAGATAAACAAAAGCTCTGTAGTAAACTGTTATACATAGATACAAATTGTCAACCAAACGTTTTAAAGCTAAGAAAGCACGTAAATGTAAATAGCAGCTTCTTTGAAATAAGAAGCCGTATTTGAGTTGTAAACAAGTACCCAAAGAGATGTGCGGCCACAGACAATGTGGTATTTATTTTGTAATTAAGTCGGCACTAGATACATAGGTACGTGTGTATGTAGGTAACTATGTATTTGTGTAGCTAATAGCCATAAAATAAAAAGACTTATTTCACTTTGTTTCTTTTTATATGCATGTAGGTATGTAAGTATGTTCAAAGGATTTGTAAGTGTTTAAGCTAATTGTAAAATAATTTCACAATGAAAAATACTACGGAAAAGTTTGTTCGGCGCTAAAAAATGTACCTATTTTTAACAGGCTTACTGAATATTTTGAAAAAATGATATTTCTGGAGAAAACGATACAATTTTTTTTTAAATAATGATGACTGATGTCGGGTAGTGGATTCCTATTTGCGACATAATGCATCCCCACAAACGATATCAAAAGCTGAACTACTTCAGGAGAAGGTTGTGCTCTAAGAGTGTAGTGTTTCCTGAGCTGCTCCCTAAGAACCGAATGCGCATGAAAATGGTAACATAATTGGAGAATCGTTGGGCTGGAAAGTGGAAAAAATTGTCTCTTGTACATAGATATACTTGGTTCAATAGGATACATATTAAAAAAAAAAAACATATATAATACAAAACTTAGTCAGAAACTCATCTTTAAGTGGATTGCATTGAGCTTTGAGCAAATGGATAAAAAACATTCTACTTATTGGCAAGTACGTCTACAGGTACCATGAATTGGTGGTCAAATTCACACATTGAAACAATTCAATAAATTTTTATATATGTATACATGCATGGAAAAATTTGTCTTTTCCTTGGATTTTTTTAATATGCCGGGTTCCAAGCCTAGAGCATGACCCACTGTTGAAGGTTTGTCTTCTCACATTAGCTCTCTTCCAAAGGGGTGTTCGGTTTACTACCCAGTCGTGAGTTTTTTAAACCTGGTGCATAAGAATCATTTTGGTGCACTCCCTGAAGAATGGGCGCGTTCGTAAGACGTAGCTGTTGCCTAACCGTTGGCAATTTGTCTTAGAAACGCACAGTTGAGTAGTTCAGCTCAGCTATTTTTTTCAGCCTAAACTTTTTACGCTTCCTGTACTCAACATGTTGGGCTTAGCCTAAACAGCTGATCGAAAAGACTTACGCTGCTTGTATTAAATTTAACGCCGCTTTGTTAGGTGGCAGTTGCAAACAAATTTATTATCTTTTATATTACTGATGGGATAAAGTAACTAAAATATTTTATAATAAAACTAGCGGGTATGTTCTGGAATTCGAAACTTTGAACCCGAATCGATTTTCCAAATACTTTTATTCTAATTGAAAACTGTAAAAGAAGCAGCAGCGATATGAAATAAATCATTTTAATGCGAGGCTTGTAAATTTTTGGGTTAAAAACGATCGAGAAAATTATCGAAATCGAGTCGATTTAAAATTTTCGAATTTTAGAACATGTCTGTACGTTTCCAGATATTTATATGTTTTTTAAGATGTTTGCTATATAATTATACACTGTTTAATTCATTATAACATTGAACGATTTTTTCAAGACGACGACAGCTCAGCGTTGAATTCTAAATACTATCGGGGCAACTATCTCTATTTATTGCAATTTCAGCAGCATATTCATCAAGCCGTTTCTAAGACGTAATTGTAGGGTTCAACGGTTGCCAGCAGTTTCATAGCAGATGAGCTAAACAGCTACGTCTTATGAACGGGCCCAATGACGATCAAAAACACACGGAGCCATCCTCCTTTAAATCGATGACGACGTAATCGAAGTGTTACTGCCATAGCATGTGTACACACAGCAATAATGCAGGAGCTGGAGTAGAACTTGCTTTTTAGCCATTTATTTCTAAAAGAAGTACAAATAGTAAAGGGAAAAAATACATATTTCGACACATACCCCAGTTTTCGCTCCCGCTTGCAACGCGTGGTCCAATAAAATTTAAGCAAAATGGTTCGGTTTGGCGAAAAGTTACGATTTTATACTTCAAAATATAACGGAGTAAGCGGACAGCGAAGCAAAGCGAGATGAAAACAGGGTTGCACATAAATTACATGTATTCACATTAAACAAATTTCATATCTTGACATAGAACATACTAGGCAATAACATCGATTCATCATAAACGTTAAAACACTGAACTAATCATCCACATCCCCGCCCCCGTGAATCGAGCCAGATTCACAAACAGCTACGTCCAGTTTCGCCAGCTTGGATGCAGGACGCCTGACTATTCCGGTAGAGGTTAACACATCTGCCCGACGAACCTGCCCATCCTAACCGGGGAAGACTCTTTCTATCCGACCGCGCCGCCACTCCTTTCTAGGCTGCCTCATATCACAAATAAATACAAGATCTCCTTCCTCCAGTGGCGTTGTGGGCAAACACCACTTCACCCGACGTATCAGCGTTGGTAGATATTCTTCGACCCATCGTTTCCAAAACCGATCTCGCATCTGCCTAGCTATATGCGGATCGGTGCAACTTGGCGTTTGTGCTGTGTTCGCGCTACCCAACAGGAAATGGTTCGGCGTCAGGGGTTCTTCTTGATCTGGCGCCACAGGCAAATGAGTCAGCGGACGCGAATTTACTATATTTTCTGCCTCAACCAGCAAGCTGTTAAATGTATGTTCCTTTGGGCTTATCTCTTTCATCGTATGGTTCAGCACCTTCTTCACACATTGCACCATCCGTTCCCAAACTCCTCCCTCAGAGGGATTCTCCGGGCAATTAAAAACCCACTCAACGCCTTTGTTTGACAATACGCTTTGCAATGCGCAGCAGTCAAACATATCAGACACCCGCCTCAACTCACCAGCCACGCCAACGAAATTCTTGCCGTTATCCGGCCGAATCCTCTTTGGCACACCTCTTCGATTCATGAAGTTCCTGATCGCTATAATACATGCATCGGTTGAAAGATCATGCGCAAGCTCCAAATGTATGGCCCTTGTGGTTAGGCACGTAAATAGTGCTACCCATCGCTTTTCTGTTCGCCGTCCTATGGTCACGTTTACCGGGCCAAAGTAATCAAGTCCAGTATATGTGAATAGCCGCGCATAAGGTGTCGCACGGTCTTCTGGCAACAGTCCCATCTTCGGCGTAACAGGTCGCGCCTTTCTTATCCTGCATACATTACAGCTACTGATGATACCGCGTAAACAGTTCCTTAAATTGGGAATCCAGTACTTCCGCCGTATTATGCTTATTGTGGCCTCTGTATTTTGGTGCATCATTCTACTATGTTCATGAGCTACTAGAAGCTTAGTGAATGCATGTAAGGGTGGTAAAATAATTGGGCGCTTCGTCTCATATGGCAGCCAGCCGATCGCGTCCAGACGACCACAGGCACGCAGAGTTCCTTCATCGTCAATGTACGGCGTGAGTGTGTACAAAGGGCTATCCTTTCGCACGGCGAGTCCCTTTCCCAGTCTGTTCATTTCAGTACCAAATTGTTCCCGCTGAACGTGTCGACACAGTAGGCGTTCAGCTGAGTCAATCTCCACAGCAGTTAATCCGTAATCTGTCGCAATAGTTGTCCTTCTTTTCTTTGGCTTGCAGTTGTTTATGAACCGGATTACCCAGGCGATTACTCTACAAACTGTGTTGAATGCTGAAAATCTGTCAAAGTTTATTAACGATTGTTTAGTTATTATAAGTCCGTATTTTGGGCGAAGCTCTTCCTGGTCGCTAGAAAGGTCAGAGGTTACGTTATCAGTTGGCCAAAACTGCTCGCTTGAATATAAAAATGCAGGTCCTGTAAACCAGCGGGAAGATGGACTTAAATTCACGTCTCTGTTTACTCTCGTCGCCTCGTCCGCAATATTATGCTTTGTTGGCACCCATCTCCAATCCGACGGCTTCGAAACATTGAGGATTTCGGCTATTCTATGTGCTACAAACGGCTTATAGCGGCAATGCTTACTTGATATCCACTTGAGCACCGTTCTCGAGTCACTCCAAAGGATGTATCGATCGAAGCGTACAGTATGTTCCCCCGCTATGGTTGTCATCATTCGCGACCCCAGCAATGCGGCTTGTAATTCTAAACGCGGAATGGTTAGCAGCTTAAGGGGTGCGCTTCTTGTCTTGGCCAGAACTAAGGAAACCTCTACATCGCCGGCTGAATTCTCCGCTCTCCAGTACGCTACTGCTCCAAATGCATCTTCACTGGCATCGACAAATATGTGTAATTGCAGGGACTCTGGTATTCCCATCCGGAAATAATGGCGCGGTACTTGACAATCCCCAACGTTGAGCAGCTGCTTCCGAAAGTGATTCCACATTGCGTTTATTTCTCCCGTAACTGGCTCGTCCCAACCTAAGTTTCGTTTCCACATTTCGCGCATCATTAACTTGGCTGTTATTGTGAAATGACACAGGAATCCCAGCGGGTCGAATATAGACATGATGATACTCAATAATATTCGTTTTGTTTTCGCTCACCTCTCATAATGGACGCATCGACATTGTGAAACTCTAAGCGGTAGGTGAAGTGATCATTTGACGGATGCCACAGCATTCCCAAAACTTTGCCGATGTCCATACTTTCCTTAGACTTAAATGGCAACATAGACGTCTCTCCGGCCAAAGCAGTAACGACTTCCGGAGCATTCGATCTGAACTTTCGCAACTGGAAACCTGCGTCGTTGTGGATATCCTTCACTTGCTGCGATATCCTTATGGCTTCTGAGGCGGAAGGGAAGCTATCAACATAATCGTCGACGTAATGATAATCGGTGATGTCTCGAATTGCCCGTGCATCGTGGGCGCTATGTTCCAAGGCATTTGTCACTTTAACATAATGGGCTGAGCATGGGGAGCACGCTGCTCCAAAGGTCATCACAGTCATTTCGTAAACGTCGGGTGGATCCTGGCTTCCGTAATTGCGCCACAGAAACCTCTGGGCATATCGATCTTCTGTCCGAATCACCACCTGGTGGAACATCTCCTGAATATCTGCACACACGGCTATGGCATCCTGTCGAAAATCAAATAAAATAGATAACAACGGTCGATATTCTTGAGGCCCTTTGAGAAGTTGGGAGTTCAATGATACTCCATGTGACATTGCTGCGGCATCAAACACAAGTCTGAACTTGTCCGGTTTGTGTGGGTTCGCTACCGCAAAATGAGGAAGATGCCATGTCCTTGGATTGCTTTCGAGGACTTCGTGAGGCTGCAACTTACGCGCATAGTTTTTCTTGACGTAGCTATCTATGTTGTCCCGGTAAGCTTTAGCGAACTCCTGGTCCCGGGCGATTCTCTTTTCGATGTTTATCAAACGTTTTAGCGCCATGTTGTAGCTTTCAGACAAATCGACGACGTCGTTCTTCCACAATAAGCCGGTTTGATAACGATGAAGTATCTTGACCGTTGTTGCCTCAAGGATTCGTTTAGCTCGTACATCATCTGCACTCTCAGAGGGTGGCGCAGCTCTCACTCCGAAAGATTCCGTGCTGAAATAATCTTCTATCATGTCACGCATTTGATGGTCTGATGTACTGACGTGAAGACACGACGGCTTCCTTAGTGGCATTTTATACGAAGGTCCAAACACGACACAACCCAAGTCCGTGAATGCAGCGTACGGCCCGTTTTGATTTACTACCAGTGGCTTGGTAGGCAATCCCAGGTGGCAGTGGTCTAGTCCGATGAGAAGTTTGGGAATGGCGTTTTCGTAAGGCTGCAAAGGCATCTTCCCTTTAAAACTAGTGGCGTTGCATATATCCCTTCTACTAAGGCTTTGTGAAGGAAGGTTCAAATCGGCGACACCGTGTACGTTACGAAGTAAACTGCGCTTCTTCATACCCAGACCGTTGACGCAAAGATTAACGATAGCCACCATTTCACTAACTGCTTTACCTCCGAACCACTGGATCTCCACCCTGCTTGGTTTAGCCTTTAACCCTAGTTCCTGCACAAGTGAATCGTCCATCATCGTGATCGATGAACCCTCATCCAAGAGCGCATACGTGTCAATGCGTTTATTTGGGCCGTACAGTGTCACAGGGACTATCCGAAACAACAAATTTCCATGAGTGTGAGCGGAGCAGTTGAGAACGGAACTGTTGGCAGATCGTGTCCCGGCGGCAGCAGTAGACGGGACCAGAGCACCTACCTCACCATCATGCAGCAAATGATTGTGATACCGAGGGCACCCTTCAACTGGGCAGACTTTGCGGCGGCGGCAATTACGAGTTGCATGTCCAGGTTGAAGACAACTGAAACACAGACGTAGACGTTTTACCGTTTTCCATCGTTCAGATACGGTAGCTTCAAATAGGCGGCGGCACCCTGAAACCCTATGTTCGTTTTGGCATAAGACGCATTTTAAAACGCGTTGGTCCCCCGCAGCGTGTAATACTGCCAGACGCTTCGGCTCTCGACCTTCGTGATCTTGAACCATTTGCACAAAACTTGCGACCTCAGATAACCAATTGCTAAAATTAACAATAGTAGGATGTGGGTGAATCGAAGCGGAATATTTTGCCCAGTCTAACCGGTTACTAAAGAGCAATTTTGCAATTAATTCCTCTAACAATGTCGGATTCGTTAAATGCTTGTCTTCCCCTATTGACTGCAAAAACACGGTTAGATTTTTAGTAATCATAGCAAACGAAATGAGTTTATAGATACCGGCTTCTGAAATACAGGGAACATCGCGTACCGCCTTTAGTTGGCTACGAACTAGCTGTTCAGGACGACCGAACCTACAACACAACTGCTCTATAATCGCACCGACATTATTTGGATGTATCAACAAAGACTTGACCGCTTCTCTTGCCTCGCCCTTGAGGCATTTATTTAAACGTTGATTACACTGGTCTACAAATTTCAACTTTTTTTCTGCGAATAAGACGGGACCTGGTGTTTCTGAACGGATTTTTCGTTCTGAACACGAATCCGGGGTCCAAAACTTCCCATCACGTCACGTTTTCGAGAAAAAAGGGGTTGAAACCCCTAAAAACAGCGTTTTTGGCCATTTTTGAAAAATTGTAGAGCTGAACCCTAACGTGCTACAAACTTTGTATATGTCAGAAATTAAAGGCTAAATCGTGCCCTTTCGAATGAGCCCTATGCCGAATTAATCGCATGCACCCTTAGATCAGGGGGTGTATTTGTGTCTAGGAGTCCAGGGAAAATTGATCGCAGAAAGAAAATCCGTTCGGAAACACCAGGTCCCGTCTTATTCGCAAAACCCTTGTAGACCAGTGTTATTTTCGAAATTTGTGTAGTTGTAAGCAGCACTTGACTCAATATATGACGCGTAAAATATAGGCCATTCCTCTGGCTGCCCGGAAAATTGTGGCAAATCCAGCATCTTTCGTGGTAACTGCAAATGATTAAATGATACTGCAGGACTCGACGACGTAGCTGACGAGCCATGAAGTTGCGTGGCGGCAGGCCCAGAGGTGACGGCTAGTACATCGTTGTGCTGTTCTGCTGGCGACCATGCTGATGGACCGTAGTTTGCTGCGGCACCCCACGGAACCGGCTGTCTAACATGCGAAGTAACGGGTGGATTAACGATAGGTTGTGACTGGAATATAGTTGCACGATTGTACGACGAATTCGTAACAGTAGTGTTTGGCGACCCATTGAATGGCCCGTTACATGTCATAGCACCACTATGTATTACAGAATTAATGCTAAACGGCACGGCTGTAGCTGACGGAGCCCCTGATGTCCCGGTAAACATAACGGCACAATTTTGAGGTACATTTTGGCAGCAATTATTTGCACTTGTATTTGTAAACGTTGGCTGTGGCGGTGCTGCAGTTGGCAACGTCAACTGCGGTAAAACTGTATTTAAACGTTGGCGCTCGCCTTCTGCAATTTTAGTTTGTGCATCTTATAATTGAACTTCTAACCTAGAAATTTGCTGTTGCATGGACAAAAGTAAGTTCATATTACATATATCGCTGGGAGAAGCCCCTGACGACATGGTGGTTGGCGCGGCAAAGTTAACCGAGGTGGCGTTGGCGATACCAACGTTGACAGAGGCGTTGGTGACGTCGGCGCTGACAGAGGCATTGGGGATTTGGGCGCTGGCATAGGCGGTGCTGATTGGGGCGACGTTGGCAGGTGCGACACTGATTGGGGTGGTGCTGGCACACACGACCTTCCACGGATCAGTTTTAGCAAAGGCACTATTATTTGTTGTATAAATTTCGCGTACCTGATGGGCAGGGCTGACTATATTGTTAATGGTAGTAGTTGGTGCTGACATAGCGGTGGTAACGGTTGTTTCTACGGCGGTGGAGGCAGCGACGGTGGCAGTGGCGGCGACGGTGGCAGTGGTGGCGACGGTGGCAACACAAGTGGTCCGCGTTGGAGCGCTAAGTTGCACTGCCTTGGAAGGTGATCTACTTGTTACCTGAGCGCTCTTTGGTTTCGCTGCAAATATGGTATTTGGTGCGGGCACAGGTTTGGCACTTGGTTCTGTAACCTTTGTTGTAGTTTGGACGGCTGGCGTTGAATTTTCTGGCTGTAATCGAGGGCTACGACGTACCGGCGAACGTAGCATTTCTTAATAAATTCCAAAGAAATGAATCGGCGGGCGTTCCACCATAGTGGGAAATAAAATTTCTACACACACCAATAATGAGGGAGCTGGAGTAGAACTTGCTTTTTAGCCGTTTATTTCTAAAAGAAGTACAAATAGTAAAGGGAAAAAATACATATTTCGACACTTACCCCAGTTTTCGCTCCCGCTTGCAACGCGTGGTCCGATAAAATTTAAGCAAAATGGTTCCGTTTGGCGAAAAGTTACGATTTTATACTTCAAAATATAACGGAGCAAGCGGACAGCGAAGCAAAGCGAGATGAAAACAGGGTTGCACATAAATTACATGTATTCACATTAAACAAATTTCATATCTTGACATAGAACATACTAGGCAATAACATCGATTCATCATAAACGTTAAAACACTGAACTAATCATCCACAGCATGCATCAACTCTCAATCAGAATATGAATATGTGAACGCCTCCCGAAAACTGGAATTTAAGTGTGCTGGGCCCAAAAGAAAGGCGACCCCGACATACGTTCCAACTAATGCGGTATCAGCCTTGTAAACATCGGCTAAATATACGTCTTATTGAGCGTATTATGTAAAACACAGAAGTATAGCGTTAACGAACTGATTGGACCTTACAATACGTTATCTTCAGTTTTGCATAAAGAACAAAATTTAATGGCGAAATTATATTTAAATGAAAACTTAAAAAAGATACACTCAAAAAGGTCAAAATAACAACTGGCGCTCATACTATACCCGTAGTTCTTTATGTAACGTATACGCCCCGTAGCACTATACCCAGTCAGCTAACGCGTTTACTCGCATGCCTTAATTTAAAGTCATCAACTATTGGTGTGGAATATTTTTCTACAGTATTCTTCACGAATAAATACATATGTTAATTTCTTCATGTATATAACCATTTGAGAATGAATTTCGACTGTGCCAATAAAAATTGTAAAATTGGATTTTTTTTTTTCCAAATCAGCGTCATCTTATAATCAATGTAATTATTTTGTCTCTTGGTGGCGCACTAGTTTTATTAGTCTAGATTGTTTCGCTTCAGCAAGAATAATATTTCCACCGTTTAATGTTGACATTTTGATGTGTCTTAAACTTTTAAATTCAACAATTTTTATTGAGCTTGAGGTCGTTTTTAATGAAAAACTTATGGTGGAAAAGCAACAATATTTTGAAAAAAATGGTGGAATTGATAGCTATTTCGGAAATCAATTCCCATTTAATTATTCGCAATCGTGAGCTGTTATATAAAAATAAATCAAAAGTTGATCAGGATCAATATTTGACACGGCTGATGGTTGCATATGTACCCAAGCGCCACAAGTATACACCACAATACAAAAAAAGACTTTCTCATGCAACTATTTTTTGCAACACAAAAACAAAAAAGAGAGGGTGTGTCATGCCTTTTTTCTGAAAGCATTGTCGGTTACAGGCCGGAGAGTGAATACTGTTGCACAAGCTATTTTTCATGGTAACATTCTTAAAGAGAACAGAGGTGGGGATAGGCTCACATCTCGGTTTAAACCAAAGAGAGAAAGTGTGCTAAAATTCCTCAAAAACTTACCAGCGAAAGAGAGCCATTACAACAGAAATAAATCTAAAAGATGCTATCTTTCACCAGAACTTAATATAAGGAAATTATGGGGGATTTATAATGATTCAGTAGATAATTCACTGAAAGTTAAAAAAACATATTTTTGGAATATTTTCAATACTCTTAACATAGGATTCTTTTCCCCTGCAACAGTTGTGTGTGCTCAATGCGTATTAAATAAACAAAAAATCAAAATGGAACAAAATTTGGACTTAAAACAGCAGCTCATTACTGAACAAAGGACTCACAAGCTAAGAGCCAATTCTTTTTATGAAATTGCAAGAGATGAGCCTCCTAGATCTGTGAGCTTGTGTTTCGATATGCAGCAAGTCCAACCATTGCCACGTAATACTTGTATGTTAATATAGTGATTTAAATGCAATAAAAACCGTTGATATAAAACAGTTTTTAATTTTCCTATAGAATATGTATAAGCAATTAAAATCAAAAAAAATTATTTAAAGCAAAAAGCCAAAATTCCAAACCTAGTTGATATCAAAACGCAATATTTCCATACATGTTCAGAACAAAGTGAAATAAATACTATTGGACGGACCAAAACGCAACATTTCCATTTTTTTAATCTAAATAACTTAAAAACTAATTGCCAGATACAAATTTTTTTATGATTTGTATTGTTTTTAGATAACTATTAAACTACAACAACAGTTTAAAAAAAATATATATCCTATTGACTTAAATTAGTTTTTTTCGTTTATCCAAAAAATTGTTTTGGTGGAATTATTGCGTTTTGTTATAGACCTCCTCAATTTTGGCTGCGGTAAGGTGTTGAAAATCAAAATTTAAAATTTTTTCTTATTAAAATGTTAAAAATTAATATAAATGAGTTACTTACGAAAAGTTGTTAAATTACATGAAAATATGAAGTAATACTTTTGGTGCCATCCAGTTCCACTCATATGTTGAGGCTTGCGAGTCATAAGTATGTAATATTTTTAGCGAGTGTCTCCGAAATTTTACTTTTTCATCTCTGTATCCGCCACTGCTTAACCCTCATTAGTCCTTAAATTACAAACCACAATTTGGCCTTGGCTCCATTTTGGACCCTGCGAAACTTAGCGGTTAGGTTAGGTTAGGTTAGGTAGAACTGGCTGGCTAGTAAAAGCCTCACATAGACAGATTTTCCGGTCCATAGTGTTACCAGATAAAAACGACCATTCGTGATGAATAGGCGGGCACTATATTGAGAATCCAAGAAACCTTATTTGCGAATTTTAGGATTTTGTGGAACCCTCCTTTTGTTGCTTACTCCAGGCAAATTAGAAACGCCTCCCAAAGTAGCTCAGACGCAAATTCGCCATCGCTGGACAGTCGCACAACTATGTGCTTCACTGTTTCTTGATCAATTTCACACTTCCTAAAGTTATCACCAAACCCGTTCTAAGGGCGTGGTAAGCTAACAAATTGTGACCAGTTATGAGACCCACCAGAAGTCTACAGTCGTTCCTTGGTAGTTTAAGTATAAGTTTCGTTAATTTCAGGTCATGTGACGTGAGCATAGCTCTGGGTACTTTGCACTAACGTTGTTGTGACCACCAACCTCTTGGAACATTCCTAAGTCACAGTGCTTTTTTAGAGCCTAGCTCGACTGCATTATTTAGTAGCACTCCTTCTTTTGCTAGAGTATCCACCCTTTCGTGCCCTTATGCCCAGGTACCTAGTACAAGTGAACTTTCCTACTTAACCCTAGTATTTTTAGTTAATTTCTGCTTTCTAAGACACTTTTTTAGGTCGTAGTATTCGACACTATGGATTTTATGGCTGCTTGGCTATCTATATAGAAATCAATTTAATTGCTGTGAGCATTGCTGTTATTGAGAAGCTCCGCTGCTTTCTTTACCGCCGCGACTTCCGCCTTGAAGATGCTGTTCAATGCTCTACCTGTACTGCCTCTATAAGTGTGAACAGGAATTTGCTAGAATTCTTTGTAAACGTAAACAGCTTTCTAGAAGAGCAATCACATAATGATATCAAGGTTTTGCTGGAACTTAGTACTAAGTAAACTCCAGATATAAAATTGCTATTTTTTGTGTTTATACATAACATTTACACAATAAATATACATAACATCTATATTAGGGTGCCCATCAAAAATGCTTTTTTGGAAATTTCAACACCCTACCCCCTAATTTTATTAGTTTTTATGAGAAATATTATTGCCTATTTTTATAGATTTTTTAAAGGTCATTTAGAGGTCGCGACCTTACAATTTAGGTCAGAAAATAGGATTTTGTAGATTTATGAGTTGTTCAATGACTATCTTTGATTCGATTTCAAAGATGGAATATAATCTAAGAAGAGTATGTATAGGCCTTTAAAACGGTATATATCAGTCTATTGTCGGACTTGGCTTGTTGGGATTTTTTATCGGGTAAATTAAAAAAAGACCAATATTTCTCTTAATTTTATAAATTTTGACCATCGATAATTTCTATGATTTCAAAGTGTGGATACTATCTTGAAATAAATCTATTTTCAAATAAGCTGATCTCATCTCATTTATTGCAATTGCATAAAAACTGTGGAATTTAGGTGCCTTTCTTCAATACGGCCTTGAATTTATATGTGCATATGTAGCGGAATTTCAGATTTTGAGCAGTGTGGCTAAGGAGTTCATCAATATTTATTAAAAAATTTATATATACAATGGCTCTTTAGCAAAAAAGTGGGTTTTCATGAAATTTTAGAAAAATAGGGTGGTTGCTCTGCTCTTTTCTTTTAAAGAAAAATTCATAAATCTTTCTAATCTAGTATTTAATTAGTCTGCTCCTTTGAACTTCGGACTAAAACCTGTGGAACTGTCAAACTCAAATTTTACTCTCTCCCACCGTTTGACACTTTTCATGAACTTATGCTTATAAGTGTAACTGATAGTTTTTCAAATGTAGCTCATCTTGGAGATAATATTGATCCAAATACTAAACTTTTGATTAGAAATCTCTCACTTATCAATCAACTGGAGTTTTTTTTTATAAAAATAGTTCACCACTTTCAGCAGAAAGGACGCACTCCACTCAATTTGAAAGTTACCTTCGTTGTTTACTATAAGGTATGCAAGATAACGTGAGTAAAGCATTCTACTCGATGTCGCATTTTAACGGTATACTGGTAGCAAGAGGGATTTGCCTTAATGTACAAGGATAAATATGTATATGTGTTTTTACTTTCAAATAACCCATTTAGTGGTTGGGTATTTACCCTTGTCCCTTTTACTAGGTGTATGCACCAACGTAGACATAAACTTATAGAGAGGTTAATTTTCTTGGGTTTCAGAAATAATGTCAGTAACAATGTCTGTTTCAAATCCAACAGAATACCACTGATGCGTTGGTAAAAACAAAAAAGCGAAATTGTATTAAACAA